TTTTTTTTTTTTTTTTTTTTTTTTTTTTTTTTTTTTTTTTTTTTTTTTTTTTTTTTCATAAAAAACAGCAAGAATTTAAATATTGTCTTAGTTTTATATTGCTCTTGCCCGAGTGATCTTGATCTCGTTTTGCTCTTGATTCTTCGTCGAGAAATCTTAATCTTGTTTTTGAAAAATTAATTTCAGTACAAATGAATAGGTTTTTTTACAAAATTGATATTTTAGAAATTCAGACTCACGCCAAGATACGCAATCTAGTTTTTGATCTTGCGTTAAAATAATGTTTTCATTTTTCACAATAAGTTTCTTCTTAATTTATTTATTACTATTCAATAATTGGAAAATTTTATTTAACTTTTAAATGGCGGTTTAAATAAATCCAATATGTTGAAGTGAAAGCTTTTACCTAAAAAATCTTTTAAACAAATGTTTTCAAAATATTCGTCACTCTATCAATATATTTGTCCATAGCAACATTTATGAATTAAGATTTTCCGTAATTTTCAATAAAATGAAAAAGAAATTAATGTGATATGTATCTCAGGTTTTTCTTTTTTATAATCAGGCAACATAGCGAAATTATTTTTTATTCGACCAAATAATATTTTAAAGGCGATAACAAGGCACACTAAATTTATTTTTGTCATAGATTGGATGTTCCGTAAGAGATGGTTGAATTGACTAAGTAACTATATCCTTGTATACTTTTTTTCAAGATTCAACTAATATATGGTTTTTCCAACCTCATTTTCCGGCCCCGTCTATACAAAGACAACCGACGTGAAAGGAAAAAAAAAAATCCCTACAGGATCATGATTTTCAGATATACCACGATCTCATTCCAATATCGCAGTGGAAACTCAGTGCAGCTAAATAAGTACTTATACCAAAGACCCTTTTGACCAATTAATAGCTGCTGCCCAAAGAATAAATATCTACAAGGAAATGTCTCTCTCATGCTACAAGTACCGTAACTTCAATGTCACCTAATAGTTTTAAGCTCATACGTGTAAGTATCGAAACCAGAAGGTAAGGAAATCAGAGTTGAACTGTACGAAGTACTTACGACACGTTTCAAGTAACAAAAAAATTCGGGAAAAAAATCCCTTAGCTGCCCACATCGGTAGATTACGGCTTCAGGTGGCCAGTGTCGTCGACGTTGGCGACTTCGAGCACCCTGTCTATTGCATCCGCGTCTTTGGTTGGGCTCAGCAGTCTCGACCTTTGCTCTTTTTCGAACAGTTCCAGGCCCTTTTTCGCAGCCAGGCCGTATCGCTTGGACAGGGCTATTTCCCCCTTTGCTCCTGGAATGTGTCCGGTGTAGCCCACGATTGGCGGACTTTCCGCCGATACTTGGTTGTCTTTTGCAAAAATATAAGCACAATGTTTATTCAAGGTGGTGTTTAATTTTAAAGATTTATGGCAAACAAGGGTATGCCTCAAGTTTTTGGGGGTGAGCTGTTTGTGTGCGTCGATTCGCTTTTCATGCAAGTACTATGTATATATATATATTCTCGTTGGGTGGTGAAAATTGCAGTTATGTGCTATACATTAGTTGGATTTTATTAAAACTGCGTGCTGTGAGATGGAAAAAGTTGTAAATCGTGCTGCCTTTTTACGAGTAAATTATTTTAAGATTTTAAATGACAATTTTTTCACCGTATTAATTGCAAAAAATCGTTTTTCGAAGATCAAAAAATTGGTACAAGTATTGTAAAATGTATTTCTTTACAAATATATTGTGTAAAAGTACCTTTGTTATCCAGATATTTAATATCAAACTTTTTTTTTTGCGCTCGTAAAAATATTTTATTTCAATAAATTCTCTCAAAACAAATAAAAATATTCCTTATTTCAGAAAAATTTATCATCAAAATAATGTTTAACTTAGTAAAAATCAGCTATTCATTTAAGAATGCAAGAATAATGGTAGACCTTCGATTCCATATAAGCCAATCTTATGTCTTATGACCAAACGATTTAAGAGGTGTGGAGGTAAAGTACACGGTCATTAATTCGTTATCAATTTTAAGTTTTGTTTTTAAAAACCTCGTCACAGACGTCAGTTGTGATTTTCATACTTTTCAGATTATAATTAGGTATCATCATCAAGTCAATGCACATACCTTCGAATCTAAGGATATATTATAGAATATTGGATAACGTTAAAAGGTTCGTGTTATTTTTTTTTTCAAGTATGTTGTTGATTTTATTTCGAATACGATTTAGAAATTTATAGGAGTATACGCAACGGTTTTTATAGTTATTATGCATAATTATTTTACACATTTTTGTCCATTTTATGGTGAATTTATGACAACTATTTCGATATTTGCAATCGATTATCAATAAAGGTCAAGCAATTGATACGTATTTAAGGCCTTTGCGTTAATAATTAAAAAAAAAAATAAAATAAATAAAAAATAACACTAAAATACTATCAAAAATAATTTATAAATAAAAAAAAGTGGTGAAGTTTTAAGGTTATCGTATGCTTGTAGAAATAAATTATTATTTCTTACGGACTCAAGTGATGAAATTAATCAGTGATACCTACGTACGGTGCAACTGAGCAGAACGACAACATTGATTCAGTAACACATGGAGCATAAATTATAAAGATCGTGAATTCAAACGCAAGACTACGACAGAGTTGATAAAAAAAAAATGGATTGATAGGTTGGCAATACTTGAAATATGATCAAAATAGTTTGTACTTATAAAAGTAAAAACTGTAGCATATTCTATGAATAGAAAACCACGTTTTTAAGAGTCATTTTCTTACAGTCGGAAACTTGTTGACAAGAACCTTTTAACGTGAACTCGGGTAACGTTATCCCAACCCAGATAAGTTGCAATATATACATGACAATGCAGATAAGGCTTTTGTGTACGTACTGAATATAGTACTGCCACAGCCTCCCTAAAGCAGTGGACCGTTTGTAAGTAGCCATCAGTGTTCGATCGTCTCTGGTGGTTCGCGTAAAAATTTTGAATTGAATATTCTCGTATTTCAATAGTAAATATAAATTCATTAGAAATAGTGCGACGAAGATGTCCAATACGAAGTCAAGTGTCAATTATCGATGGATCATCGTGACTTTTGTAGTTTTGTGTACCTTTCCGCTGCACTCGGAGTCAATGGACCCAGCAACGATTACCACTGTTCCCGAGACTTTTCCGTTGCAGAGCGTCGACAAGTGGAGCGTCACCAAAGTCAACGCGAAGAAAATAACTTACGCGTGGACCATAATGAACTTTAGCGTCAACAACAAGCTGGTGAACGAGTATCTGGAATCGCCGATTTTCACAATAGACGACGAGTACCAATGGCGTTTGAGGTTTTACCCGAGTGTGACCTACGGGAAATACACAAAGTTGCACCTATACTTGTTACCCGCCGCGTACAGGGCCATCCCAATCACGTACGAATTTGGTTTGGTGAACAGCACTTACGGCTTTTACTTTCCAAAGGACAAGGCTACGGCTACTCGAGTTAGTCCCAGCAGTAGTTTTGGATACGACGAGTTTATAGATGTGAGTTCTCTGAAAAATTTCACTAAAAATGACCAACTGACCATCATAGCCAAACTCGCTATGCACACCGGTTACACGAATTACACTTCGGGAAGCTGTGACTCGGCCGGTTTGGGGACACCAGACCACGATCACACGGACAATTTTGAAAATTTACTGGACAACCCGATTTTTAGCGATGTGACCTTCAAAATTAGACTCACCGAGATCAAAGCGCACAAGGCGATATTGGCAACGATGAGTCCAGTCTTAATGTCGGAGTTCATAAAATTGCAAGAATTTGGGAAAAAAGCTGTCATGGAGTTCGACGATGTCGAGCCCAAATCGTTCAAGGACATGTTGCGCTTCGTGTACACCGGCAAAGTGGAAAAAATCGAGAAAACAGCCAAGGACTTGTTGCCCCTTGCAAAGAGGTTCGGGATCAAGCAGTTGGAGGATATTTGTGAAAGGGCGCTGTGTAAAACTCTGAATTTGGACAATGTGATGGACATGTTCAATCTTGCCAGCAACATCAACGCCACTTATTTGAAGGTACAGGCGATAAAGTACATGACAGCACACACGGAAAGTATGATGGATGCTCCGAATTTCGCGTCCTTAATGTCTCAACCTCAGAATTTGATTGGTGTTTTGCGCGCGTTGATCAATAATCCGACCACACCTTGAATACCATATCACATCGAGAACAATGTCTTTCGTGTCCAAAAGGTTGTTCTCACAATTAACTACTTTTGTATACCAACGCTTCATAAATGCTTGTTTTCTTTGCCAAGAGTTTATATTTTAGAAACCTTTATACTATCATGAATAATATTTAAGTTAATCAATTATTTAACATTGAATTTTTCGTAATGTTGCTCGTGAGTGTGCTACATTTACCTGACGCATACCCTTTTGTAGACATTTATACGTGCAAAATAATAAAATATTATGTTATTACCTAATGTATTATTATTATTATTATTTTTTTTTTTTACTTCAAAAGGATAATTTTTATTTCAGTTTTCGCTACATTGTATCATTAGAATCATGCACTTTGTTTGATCTCTTTTTTAGCGAGTGGCGTTTTTTTATTCCTTCTGTAATTTAATAAAAAATAATAAAAAATTATTGTTTACACTTGTAATGTTATATACTATACAAAAAATAAAAACAATAATTCTGTGTATTTCCCTTGTTGAGTCTTAATAGTTTTTACGTATATTTATTTTTCTTGCTTTAAATCTGGAAAAAAAGTTGGGTGAGCGGGAACCCCAAACACTTGCGGGTGCTGTTCACAATAAAGTTAAGTATACGTAGACATAATTGCAAATTAGATTGTTATGAATTAAATTTTAACTCATATCCGAGTGTTTGATTAAATATGAGTGTTACTCACGACTATGACAGGTATACGTATAGATAATGTTAATACTAGTGATAAATTGATATCATTCAGAAATCGTTTATAAAAATGGACTCTGTTAAAAAAANTGAATAAAAAAAAAGTTGTAAGTATTTTTTACTGATCTACAATTTTCGCATTTGATGTTTTGTCCTAAAAGTCAAAGTAAGTGCTTTTAAAAATCTTCTTAGTCGATTAAAAACATTTTTTTTTTTAATTCTCATAGACGAAAAGTAGAATAAAATGTACAAAATAAAATAGATAATTTTTAAAAAAACATCCATGATTTTTGTATTTGATACTGTGTCGTATAATCTCAATTTCTTTTTAAGGTGGATTATTTTAATAGTTTTGCTATTTTAATACATTTTGTGCATTCTAGATAGAGCCTCTTGCAATCGCAAAGGGGTACTGAAGAAAAAATTTTGTCAATTTAAAGTAACGTTTATTGGAACCCAAACAAATATTTATTTGAATACAATAAATATAATACAATAAGTTCACAAAGTTTATTATTTTTAAACGAAAAGTATAATCATTCAGAGAACCGTGTCGCAAGATAGGGTATATGGGCTGAATTCAATAAAATTCTTTATACTTTTCGATAAAGCTTTTTAATTTTTGGATGAAAATAAATAAGCGTATGCCCTTGGTGAATCTAATAAACAGAAAATAGAATCAATTTAAATCTTTGGCATACTTAGTCAGTTTTTAGTCGTTAGATTCCTCAGGAAATTTCGAGGGCAACCCGAGATAAGGTCTTTTGATTCCTCGTGGATTATAATCATTCAATAAACATTGATTAAATGAAATAATTACGAATTCCACCCAAGTTTGCGCAATGTACATATGTATATATATATCAACCTCATACTCACCGAAATATTGTCGCTTTCCACCATGCCCGTGGTCGATCTCCACGTCGACGTTGTCGGCACGCACCCGGGACAGGAGGTTTCGCGGATTCGTGCGCTCTACGTGCGCCCGCATCGCGTCCCGGCGTGAGCGTAGCTTGCTCTGCGCCTCGCGCCATTCGGTGGTGCCTTCGTCAACCGCCTTCATGAAGGTCAGGCCGTACCTGCTGCTGTAGCCTGGTATGTAGCCTGGAAAGGTTTTTTTTTTTAATTAATTGTGTGTACAAGAGTATAATTTATTACTTTTTAAATTACTCAACAGTATCCTTGCAGTACGTAGACGCGTTATTTGCTTGGAAAGTACACCAAGTTTTACCTGTATATCCCAAAATGTACGGTGGAGTCTTGAATGTGTACGAATCTTTTTTCCGATTCCTCCTGATGTCTTTCTCTCGCTGAATGTGGACTAAATTTTCTTTAGTTGATGCTGCTCGGAATTGATATGGTGCTGTTTTGAGTATATTTTTGTCAATCAGCTCCTGTGTACACAATGGAATTTACGACTCTGAATACTTTTTTTTTTTTTTTTTTGTTTTTTTTTGCTTTTGTTTGTTAGGGTGTACGTTATTTTCCAAATTTTAATTTTGAAGTGAAACTTCTTGCGTAGGGCTGTCAAGTGCCGAAAAATTACTGACTCTCCTTTATACGCTAACTGCACTTTGGTTCTCCCCACCAGTATGGTCTCTATTGCCTAGTTGTCTACCACACCACTATAAATATACAGCGGGCAGCTAAAAGCTACATATCCAGAATGAGAGAGATTTAGATATAGAGCAGAGCCCAGGTGATGTGGCCCCTACAGGCTTCTCTAACAAACTGTCGTAATAGGACGTACTCTAAAAGTTTTTGGTATTAAAAAAAAATTTTTTTCAAATTTTAAAATTATTAGAAAATTGTTTTTTGCCTGAAAAAGCCTAAAAGCAATATTTAAATTGTTCAAAATTTACTTAATGAAAGTAAATGATTTTCAAGTGAATTACAAAATTATTAGAACGATCAAAAAAATTATTTTTTGAGTTGCATTTGGCAGCAAGTGTGGATTTATTTTCGTTGGAGTTTTATGATAATAATTTTCATTTTAGGCTACAATAAACATACTTCAGAGAGTACTTGGATGAATAAAAAAAAAATTAAGTTTGAAAAATAACAGACACACGATATTTGTATCATATGACACAATGCACGTAACATAATTTCAGTAATAAAATTTCAGTGTATTGATTTACTTTCATGATTTCTTCGGTGCACGCTCCATATCGCTTGCCAACTCGAAACTTGAGGGTCGGACAGTGCCCTGTATACCTGAAAACAATTTTTTCTCACTGTATTGTATGATTTGGTATCCCGTTATTGCGTAGGATTATTAAAACGTTAAAATTTTCAAAGTTATCCGAAAAAAAAATACTGTCACAAATTTTTTTTCTTTCATTTTCTTTTTATTTATACAATTCCACTCGATTTATTGTATCAACTGACAATAAATAATTTCAAACATTAAAAGGTAATTTCTAAAATTTTTTTACGACGTATTTTCTTCATATTACTGAATGCATATCACAAGTTTTCAAAAAATTGAAAAATTATACATCCAATCTTCTAAAAAAATATTTCAGTTCAAATGTATAGTCTATTATAGTTCATGCACAAGGTCAAATCAGTATAGCTTACCATGATACTATTGTCAACGATTTTATTTTTTTCAAATCTAAAGAATTTTTTTTTTCTCGTTAAGCTCTAAAACCGGGCAAATAAGATACTGTGTGTACATGAGTACACGTGCGTATCAGCCATCGGTCGAGAAAAGCGTCAAAAGTGGGCCAGGCACGAGCGAGTATAAATCTATGTGCTCTGTAATGCTGCTACTGCTCTGTGACGGTCACGGCTCAATAACCCAACCGGCGCAATAAGTATTTTTAGACGCGTGCAACTGTATACCACCCACAAGCGCGTGTGTACGGGCGTCAATGGTCTCACTTTATGGGTGATTTTTTAAAATTTTTTTATTTCAATCTCTGTATACCTGTATTTAATGTATGTAGCGATTGGAGTTATTGTTAGAGACGACCTTGACTGCCTCAATGATTGCAGCATACTATTGTTGATTTATCACGTGAGAAAATTTGTTGGTAAGTATCGTCATTTGGGAGCGGAAGTGGGCTTTTATTTAAGTTCGCTTTATAATGGAGTGAGTGCTAATCCAAAAGGTTAATTTGTTTACATGTCTTAGATGATGATGTAACGATTTTTTAAATATTCAGGGCCTTGTTTATCGGTAAATATGTAGTTGTTCCAATAAATATGTAAATTTTTCCTTACTGGCTAGAGAGGCTTTCTGACATGAGTTGTTTCAAAATAGAAAACTTTTAGAAAACTGTATCGAAGTAGAAATCATACAATTCGCTGAGAGTAATTATTATTTTCTAGTTTTTTAGAGCGTACAGTACAACTATTTTACACAGATTTTTATCGACATCGCATTGTTGTGAAATTTAATCGTATGGTCAGCAGAAGCAATAATATGGTATGGAAAATATCGAATTTCCTAGATCGATAAAATGCTATATTCAACCATCCCTTCCAGGATGATGTTTACATTTGTGACGGCTCAATTAACGTAGTTAATGCGTTTTTTCCGTAACCGACTTTAAAATATATTTATAATTGTGTCACTATTTTTCGTGACGATAGAAATTAATTAACCTTAACTTTGGATTTATTAAGTTGATAATGTGGCTTAAACAAATAATATTAACACATTTTTCTTCGTCAACCTATAGTAATTAAATTCTTTGTATAATCATTTACTTTGTCATAACGATTTACAATGAAGCTGTGATGTTTTTGAATTTTATTATTTTGTTGCACTGGGTGCAAGTGAGTTCATTCAAATAATACAATAAGTTCACAAAGTTTATTATTTTTAAACGAAAAGTATAATCATTCAGAGAACCGTGTCGCAAGATAGGGTATATGGGCTGAATTCTAAAATTGTAGTTCGGGGTACTGCTAAATGGTCGATGACATCTAGCGGACAACTTTGGTATGCAACTATTCAAAGTTAAATTTATATTTCTTTGCATTTATTTTTATTTTCCCAAAACAATTTTTTGAATTAAAAAAAGCTCATATCTATTCAATAGGTGATTAACCTGATAGAATTTATAATTATGGTTAAAAAAAAATAATAACAATAATAATAATGATAACAACAACAACAACATCAGAACAACAAAAACAACAACAAAAACAATAATAACAATAATAATAATAAAGTGGTACGTCATTTGTCATTAATTTATAAAATCTGAAGGAGTTAATGATTTAAAAATCGGTGCAAATTAAGCACAGATGATAAAATCGTCAAATAATTTGTATAACGTATAGATCGCCAACAGTTAGTATTAATTTATTTATGGCAACAAATCAAGCCAAAGCCAAAGAGCTCTCGTAATGTATATGTATGTATGGATGTATGTATCACTCGCCAAAATCATATCAATATCCCTCGAAATTGTATTGGTTGGTCGCATTACACAATCCTTTTTATTAAAAAATTTTAAAATATATTCTACGATACACTTAAAAAAACCATTGAATCAACTCGTATCAATTTTTCCAAGATATCCCTAAAGATTAAATAGTGACTTGTAAAAAAAAGACCGTAGAGCACTGGAACTTTATTTGTTAGATTGCTATATTTGTACAAAAAAATTTATACATACATCACCTTCTTAGCCTTTCTGAATTGATTTTTTTTTATCAAAAATTGTAAGATTCAATGGACTTGTAATTGTAATAATACAATATTTACCAAGATTGGTGCGATTTGTTTTGTAAATTCGCTTAAACCCAAACAACCGAGCGAACAACACGCATAGATTCACAAAATCGTAAAACTATTGATCAAATGGACGTTATCTAAACGCGCACCCGCTGTATACAGCGATAAGCCAAACAGACCGAAAAGCGCGGAGTTTGGTATTAGTTAACTGACGAAACTAACAGTTTACTCGAGTTGTTTACCAAATCGATAAGGACTTTGTTGGTACTTTGGAAAACGATCTCTCTCGAGCGCATCCATGCCTGAGTCTTATATGCACAATGTATACCCTTTGTGTACCATCCACCTTGTTTTGTGTGCGAGTTCAGCAACTTACGGGCAGGTAGTTAGGTACTACTTGTCGGTACTATATATACGTGCCATGTGCGTGCGTGCATTGTAAAGGCAACTTCGCTGCACGTGATGGCAAGCTCGCGTGGAGGGACTCGGGAGTCAAGGATGTTTCCCTTTACGTATAAGTAAGGGCGGAAGGAATTTTTGTCCGTCGTTTTGTAGTTCCTTTGGATTTTACGGGCTGAATTGCTCGTTAAAGGTTCCGCGCGCACAAGTCGAGAAAAAATTGTATAGATTGATTGATTTACGTGCAAGTACAGATGACTGTCAGTTCTCAGGATTTTAGGTTTTAATGAGGATAAAAAAGAATGATTAAAACAAATTTTAATTCTTTGTTACAGCGGTGAGAATTTTGTATGTATATATTTTTTCTATTCTATCTTGATAGATGATCACTTGACTAAAAGTTGTTTATTAGTTGTAGGGTTGGTTCAGCCAGGTCAAGTGGTTTGTTTGGCGGTGTTCTTGAAAAATCAATTGAACTCAATTGTACGAATAATATTTAAAATAAATTGAGTTTGTACTGTTACGATGATCTGGCCTGATGCTATTTTGTTTTTTCTAATTAATAGAAGCTACAAATAATTTTATTAGTTAAATCATCGTACAAGTCACTGTAATTTAACCAACTATGGGAATGCAGCGAGTCTCAAATCGCCAAGATATACCTATACACTTCATACTAGGTTACGAATATCGACTTAACTGTACGATTCCGTGCTATTAGGCAAAACAAAGGAATGCGATGCTTTGAATTTCACGTGAGATTTTCAAGGTAAAAGACGAATAAGAGTTGTTTGTTGGCTCTCTTTGCGTGATAATAAAGCTCATAGAAAAATTTTTACTCAAATGTTATCAGGACATTTTTTGATAACTCACGAATTTTTCCATGGGAGTTCGAGTATGTGCCTTGATACAAAATTGCGTTCTTCAGGTAAAATTACTTTCTTCTGTGCAAATTTTATTACTAAAAAAATTTTATCAAAGCGATGATGATTCCCCATACTCATATCAACAGATATTGTAACAGCACCACGGAGTAAGGGAGAAAACTTCTTTTAACAAACTCGTGTGGAATAAAAAAGGCACTCTACTCCTCGATCTTTAATTTCAAGTTTCATTCACGGCTGCCTTGCTCACCCTCGTTACATTGACCTGCTCCACTTGAGGGCGAATCCCACTTTTAGTCGAATGTGTGTGCTGGTGTGAGCTAGTTCCATAATTTGATGCCACATAAATAAGTCTTAGTAAAGAATACAACGTAGCTGCGGAGTCGTGGCTGCCATCAATAATTAATTTTCCTATGAACCTGTATAGAGTCGTTGCGCGGGACGTTCATTCGATACATGTGGTGTTGCATGCGTCTCCTTACGAGTGAGTGAAAAAAGTATCTGATGATCGAAAACAATCCGCTGAATTGACGGGAAAAGGAAAAAAAATTTCACGTACATGAAAAGTTGCGACTGATGTGTGTTTATTTCAAGTGCAAATAACAATATAATTGTACTATTCATATAATATTCTGTACGTGCAATATTTTGTAGTTTTGTTTTTATAAAATCTTTAAATTGAGTGACATTCAAGAGGGAGATGGTGAATAAAAAAAAAGTTGTAAGTATTTTTTACTGATCTACAATTTTCGCATTTGATGTTTTGTCCTAAAAGTCAAAGTAAGTGCTTTTAAAAATCTTCTTAGTCGATTAAAAACATTTTTTTTTTTAATTCTCATAGACGAAAAGTAGAATAAAATGTACAAAATAAAATAGATAATTTTTAAAAAAACATCCATGATTTTTGTATTTGATACTGTGTCGTATAATCTCAATTTCTTTTTAAGGTGGATTATTTTAATAGTTTTGCTATTTTAATACATTTTGTGCATTCTAGATAGAGCCTCTTGCAATCGCAAAGGGGTACTGAAGAAAAAATTTTGTCAATTTAAAGTAACGTTTATTGGAACCCAAACAAATATTTATTTGAATACAATAAATATTTAAATCCATTAAATATTGCCTTATAAAGAAATCACTTATTTGATTTAAATTAATATTTATTTTATTAAAAAAAAAATTTTTTTGTCAGTGGATACAAATTTTTTTTCCCATAAA